GAGTTGGAGGTTGCTGTGAGCTGTAATGCCACGGCACTCTGCCCAGGGGGACAGCTTGAGGCTCTGTCTCAAAAAAAAAAAAAAAAAAAAAAAAAATCATCCTGCCTTTCTTATTTTTATATTTATTTTATTTTACTTAATTTTTGAGACCGAGTCTTGCTCTATTGCCCTAGATAGAGTGCAGTAGCATCATCATAGCTCACTGGAATCTCAAACTCCTGCGCTCAAATGAGCCTCCTGCCTCACCTTCCCAGAGTGCTAGGAATACAGGTGTCAGCCACTGCACTTGGCCTATCCTGCCTCTTTTAAACCCAAAGCTACTATGAAATGGGGATGTGGATCTCCTTGAATGAACTAAAGTGACTTTCTTTGACTTCTTCCTATGGTGCTTCATTTCACTAAATTTCATTCTGGTTAGGATATGCATTACCCTAAGTTCACAATCTTTTTTTTTTTCTTTTTTAAAGAGATGAGTTCACACTAGGTTGCCCAGGCTAGCCCTAAACTCCAATGCCTCAATCTCCAAGTACCTGGAACTATATGCACACACCTATACACTCAGCTTCCCTAATCTTTTCAATTACTGATAATTTGTTCCTACAGTCATCCCTCTCTGTCTTCTCATATATACCCCAAACCAAATTCCTCACTTGATTCAGGCATGCTTCCTTCTCTACTTCTCCTCCCAGACCCTTTCTCTCCCAGTTTGTGATTTTCTTTTTGCCTTTGCCTTTTCTTTTTCTCATCCCTTACTCTCTCCATTTCTTTCTTCCACTCTTTTTTTTTTTTAACCTGTAGGTAGGTGTGAACAGTTTCTGTTTTTCTGAAGTCTTTTCTCCTTCTCACCTGGAAGACCTCAGGCTGACCAGGTTGCTGTGCTGATGGCTGCTGAACATGCTGCTCACTAGAACTTGAGCGATGATGAGCCTGCTGGCCTTGCCACTGGGGCCAGACACTGACACCCTCTGCTGTTCGTGTCTGGAATTGTCCGGCAGTCTGTCCAGTCTCCGGAGCTAGAAATACAACAGGAAGAATAAACAACTCTAGTCTCTACTGGAGAGGAGAAAGTAGCATATAACTATATATAAGCTATTAATTTTATCTAGGATAACTTCTGTCCTCTCTGCCTCTTCTAATTTAACCCATCCCCAAGTTAATTTTTTTTCTCCAGGCAGTCTTTCCAAAAAGTCCTTTGCTCATTTAGATTAATCTACACACTATTAATTTTTTTTCTTTTGATTTAGCATCTCACTCTATTGCCCAGGCTAAAGTGCTATGGTGTCATAGCTCACAGCAACTTCAAAATCCTGGGCTCAATGATCCTCCTGCCTCAGTCTCCTGAACAGTTGAGACTGGGCACCCACCACAACTCCTTCAATTTCATATTTTTAGTAGAAATGGGGTCTTGGTCTTGCTCAGGCTGGTCTTAAACTCAAGGGATCCTCCCACCTTAGTCTCCCAAAGGGCTAAAATTATAGGTGTCATGTCTGACCTGCTTACTATTAAATGTTTGACAATTTACATGCTTATTATATGTGCTACAAGTATTTTTCACATTGGTAAGTTTTAGTAGGTAGTCCAAATAGACGGTCACCTTTCATTTCCCTACAATTAGGTCAGAGCACCCAGGACATAAGCCAACAGTTTAACTACTTAATCCTTTCTCTTTAGTGGTGTGATTGTTCCTGTTGCCTTCTTTCTAGTCTAAACTTACCAAAGCTGGATCCCCGACTAGTGAGACTGGGGTAGGCAGCAGCACCAGGTGACGCAGTGGGAGCACCAGAGAGGGACATGGGGCTGAAGGAGGATGGAGTCTGAAAGTTGCCCACACCAAACTGGGAAGTGTGAGTCTTGGCTGTAGCCTGGGTAGTCGCCTGCTAAAGACAGCAGGAGGTAAAGAACAAATGGAACATTAACATTATTGTATATACCATACCTATGAGAATCAACACTGTTAATCACGTCATCCTTTGGAACCAAGCTCATCACTGATTTGCTACTGTACGAATTTCTTCTGATTAACTCCCAATCTCTTAACACTATTTTTTGGCAGCTAAGATAAAAGTGCAAAAAGCAAAGAACTATGGGATTAATGAAAGTTGTGAGAATTAAACAAAAGCATTTTGTGAAGTGTGAAGTTACATAAAACTAGAGGCATTAATCATAGAGGACTATATGCACAGAAAAGACTCTTTGCACCACTGTTCCATCTGTTGTGCATCCATTTGTTCCTAATGATGGTTGTTTTTTTTTAATAAAAACTATATGTCTTAGCAACACAACAGCAATAGACATCATTGTGAAATATTTGGAAAGTGAAGAAAAAGATAAAGAAAATAAGAATCATTCATAATTCTATCATCAGAAACCCATGGTTAGGATATTTGTATAATTTGTTCCAGTTTTTCTTTTCTTATGCCTTTTTTTTTTTTTCTTTGCAGTTTTTGGCCAGGGCTAGGTTTGAACCTGCCACCTCCAGCATATGGGGCCAGCGTCCTACTCCTTTGAGACACAGACGCCGCCACTTCTTATGCATTTTGTACATAATTAAAATCATACAGCATAGGGCAGTGCCTGTGGTTCAGTGAGCAGGGTGCCAGTCCCATATACAAAGGGTGGTAGGTTCAAACCTCCCCAGCCAAACTGCAAGAAGAAAACAGCCGGGTGTTGCAGCAGGCACCTGTAGTCCCCACTACTCGAAAGGCTGAGGCAAGAGAATCACCTATGCCCAAGAGCTGGAGGTTGCTGTGAGCTGTGATGCTACAGCACTCTACTGAGGGTGACAAAGTGAGACTCTGTCTCTAAAAATAAATAAATAAATAGGGCAGGGCCTATGGCTCAGTGGGTAGGGCGCTGGCCCCGGCCAAACTGCAACAAAAAAATAGCTGGGCGTTGTGGGGGATGCCTGTAGTCCCAGCTACTTGGGAGGCTGAGGCAAGAGAATCACCTAAGCCCAGCGACTGGAGGTTGCTGTGAGCTGTGATCCCACAGCACTCTACTGAGGGCAACAAAGTGAGACTCTGTCTCTACAAAAAAAAGAAAAAAGTAAAAAATATATAAAAATAAATAAATAAAATCATACTACATACAACATTCTGAAGCTTGGTTTTAGTTTTGAGTTTTTTACTTAAAATATTATTTATAGGCGCGGCACCTGTGGCTCAAGTGGCTAAGGCGCCAGCCATGTACACCCAAGATGGTGGGTTCAAATCCAGCCCAGGCCCACCAAACAACACTGACAGCTGCAACCAAAAAATAGCCAGGCATTGTGGCAGGCACCTGTGGTTCTAGCTAATTGGGAGGCTGAGGCAGGAGACTCGCTTGAGCCCAGGAGTTGGAGGTTGCTGTGAGCTGTGATGCCACAGTTCTCTACCCAGGGCGACAGCTTGAGGCTCTTGTCTCAAAAAAAAAACAAAACAAAAATATTATTTATAAAAGTATATAGTAATTATTAGAGAATATTTGTCTAAGACTTAATATATTTATCACATTACATAGTAATATGTATATTACATAAGAATTTTTCAATTTTTTTATAAATAGATATCACTGTATATAAATTAATAATTTTCTCTTTGGTTCCTATACTATGTAGTCCTAAACAAATAGGAAACTTCTTAGAATCCACTCCAAATCTCAAAATTAAACCTACTCAAAATGTTCTGTGTGAACAATTCTGATTTATAATGAATATGTGAAAAACATGGACTGTAGAGATTTTTGGATTATCTGTTGATTTTCTTTCTTTTTTTTTTAAGACAGAGTCTCCCTCTGTTGTCCAGACTAGAGTGCCATGGGATCAATCTACCTCACAGCAACCTCAAACTCTTGAATTCAAGCAATTCTCTTGCCTTAGCCTCCCAAGTAGCTGGAACTACAGGCACTTACCAAAACTCCCAGGTAATTTTTCTGTTTATAGTAGAGAGTCTAGCTCTTGCTCAGGCTGGTCTAACTCTAGCTTAAGGGATCCTCCTATCTCAGTCTCCTGGAGTGCTAGGATTACAGGTATGAGGAACTATACCCAGCTTTATCAGTGATTTTTTTTTTCTTTTTTGAGACAGTCTCAAGTTGTCGCCCTTGAGGGTAGAGTGCTGGGGCGACATAGTTCACAGCAACCTCCAACTTGGCTCAAGCAATCCTCTTGCCTCAGTTTTTCTATTTTTAGTAGAGATGGCGTCTTGATTTTGCTCAGGCTGGTCTCAAACTTATGAGCTCAAGCAATCCACCTGCCGTGGCCTACCCAGAGAGCTAGGATTACAGGTGTAAGCCACCGTACTTGGCCCAGTTTTGTTTGGTTTTTTCATTTTTACAGTAGCCTTTTATTTTTTATACCTATTATGCCATGAATTCATAGAGAATCAGTTCCAGTAGCTCCAGGGCCTTTCCAGTGGATGTGACAAAGCTTGCTATGCCTATTACACCATGAATTAATAAGGAATAGGTTCTAGTACCTTATTCTCCCTTTCAACTGGTTCTTTTGGTTCTCCTGTGTGCTATGCTGTATGCCTTTTACACTATGAATTCATAGGGAAGGTTCCAGTACCTTATGCCCCCTTTCAACTGGTTCTCTTGGTTCTCCTGTGTGCTATGCTGTATGCCTTTTACACCATGAATTCATAGGGAATAGGTTCCAGCAGCTCAGGCTTCTTCCTACGGGTTCTCACAGAGTAGACTTCTCTAGGTGGAGAAGGCTGGCACATCAGTTGAACCCAGGCACCTTTGTCTTTGGCCTCCTTCTTTTTCTCACCATTTTCCTTGAGGAAGCTATTTCAGCTCTTGAAGTGCTTAATATGTTCAATACAAACATTTATCCCCTTGGCAAGAATCTTGCCTTTGTTTGTTTACAACAATGACAACAGCATGCTGGGTGATAGGGTGAACTCTTCCAGTTTTGCCATGGTAACATCTGTGTGGCATGCCTTTTTGAATTGTACCCATTCCTTTGATATCTACAATATCACCTCTCTTGTAGATTTGCATGTATGTGGCCAAAGGAACAACTCCATATTTTTCTAAAAGGTCTAGAGAACATGTGTTGGATGCCTCTCTTCTTTACCTTTGTATCTGTCATTTTGGTGAACCACTGGAAGATGGCATCTCCAGCCAAAAAGCTTTATCTGTAATTTTTAATTACCTAGCTATTCTCAACCAAAGATGAAAATTGAAAGGTGGAGGATGGGAGATGGGGAGAAGGTATTCAAAATAAATAATAATTTTATATATGCAAAAAAAAAGTTCAACCAACCAACTAAAAACAAGATGCTGATGACAAAAAGAAAAGAAGTTTCACCTGAGCAGAGAAGCCTGGGCGGGTACTAGGGGTCCAAGTTGAGGTTGATCCCTGGGTAGGGTTAGAGTGGCGGGAAATTTGGGCCAATATCTGTCCAGCAGAAGCTGATGGTTGGACGATGGTTACAGGAGGAGCCAGACCACTATTCCTAGGTTTGAACAAAAAGTAAGGTAAATGATTAAAAGGATGAATTTACCACAGAAGCTAGGAATTGAAGGATAATCCAGTGCTATCCCCTAGATTCCCTTGACTTCTTTGGGGTTAAGGAAAATTTCACAATAGAATTTGTGAAAGACAAGAAAGACAGTTATACATTGACCAGGACACACAGAGATGGAGCCTAGCATATGGCAATAGGACAGGTAACAAAGATATCGGAGGGAAAAAAAGCAGCTTCTTTGCCTTACACTAGGCCCTACAAGCTCTACTGCTTTGTCTGAAATAACCAGAGAAAGCAAGGAAAGAATAAAATTTGGGTTCAGTGAATGAATCCCTCCGGGCTGTATAAAGCAGCACACATATACGGGGCTCACCTGAAATTCTCTGCCGGCCGGGGGGTAGGAGGGAATGTGTTGCCCTGGGAGAATAGCTGTTGGGTGGCAGGGACAGTGCTGGAAGAGATGCCTTTACTCTGATCTGTGGACCAAAAGGAGTTGGGGAGGGCCAGTCAAGGGGCTGTAGTATATTAGTTTAGCAAGTTCCCATTTATTCATGAGGTATAATGATTAAGTGGATATAATTAGAATATCACTGATTAGGCAGTGACAGGCCCATCAGTAAGTGATCTAAACAACAATTTAAAACAGGAACAAAGGCTTGGAACCTGTAGCTCAGTGGCTAGGGCACCAGTCACATACATGAGAGCTGGCGAGTTCAAATCCAGCCCGGGCCTGCCAAATAACAATGACAACTCCAACCGAAAAATAGCTGGGCATTATGGCGGGCGCCTGTAGTCCCAGCTACTTAGGAGGCTAAGGCAAGAGAATCGCTTAAGCCCAAGAGCTGGAGGTTGCTATGAGCTGTGACACCACGGTACTCTACCCAGGGCAACAGCTTGAGACTATCTAAAATAAATAAATAAATAAATAAGTATATAAAACGTAAGTGGGGGGACAAAGAGGAAACATACCCGCATTGATGTTGGAATAGATTTCTGAAAATCTTGGGTCTCTATCCTGGGCAAACAGACCATCTGATTTCTCCAGGGGCTTATTGTGCTCTGGTCCTGTGGCTGCCACAGGCTGAACAGAAACCTGTGGAATGCAATAATAAAAATAACCATTAAAGGTTTAACATGATAATTTAATAATCCTGAAATTCATATAAAGTACACATATACTCTAATTGACACTGAAGGACTTTTTCCAGAAAACACTATCATCTTCAAGGAAGAAGGTACATACGCACCTGGGAATGATTGTAGCTGGCCAGTCCATCTCTTCCTGGTACCATGTCCAATTCTGTTTGCTGTTGTTGCTGCCTATGTGTCAAATGCCAGTGAGAAGAGAAAAAGGAAGATTTTTTTTTTTAATCTGGGGAAAGGGCCTTGAAAAAATAAGCAAACAATAAAACAAAAAATAACCAAGGTTGCAAATAGCCACCCCCGGGCTACTCACTGCTCAATTGAGGATTCTTCCACCATTTATTACCTGGGTGCCAGCTGCCCTGAACCCATCTCCACGGGTAGGTTGGCTGTGGGACCTAGCTGTGGCCTCTGGATTGTGTTGGATACTGTAGACCGTGGTTCCTGGCTAGAGTTTCTAGAAAAATAGAGTAGACAAAATAGAGAAAATAATGAAGGAGGGTGGAAGAACCTGACTCAGTACAGAAAGTTTTACAGATTCATCTGTAAGTCGAACAATCAATAATAAATCCCCCCTTCTAAGTCCAATCCTATAGGTATCTTATGATCTCAGTTTTAGCAAATAATTCATACTGCTGACAGCATGTTATAAATAGAAACTATGGGGCAGCGCCTGTGGCTCAGTGGGTAGGGCGCCAGCCCTATATACTAATGGTGGTGGGTTTGAACCCGGACCTGGCCAAACTGCAACAAAAAAATAGTGGGGCGTTGTGGCAGGCACCTGTGGTCCCAGTTACTTGGGAGACTGAGGTAAGAGAATCATCTAAGCCCAGGAGTTAGAGGTTGCTGTGAGCTATGAAGACATGGCACTCTACCATGGGCAATAAAGTGAGACTCTGTCTCTAAAAAAAATAAATAGAAACTGTTCTACGTCATAAGGGTTCATCTTGTTTGGGTTCTTATTTATTTTAGGCATTTAGTATCTAGCTGTTGTGAATTGTATATATCTCCATATATTGGGTTGGATTTTTTGTATTTTTTTTGAGACAGAGTCTCACATGCTAGAGTGACATGGCATCAGTCCAGCTCACAGCAACCTCAACTCCTGGGAGTAATCCTCCTACCTCAGCCTCCCTATTAGTTGGGACTACATTTGGCCACCACAAAGCTCAGCTAATTTTTCTATTTCTACTAGAGACGGGGTCATGCTCTTGCTCAGGCTGGTTTCCAACTCCTGAGCTCAACAGATCTTCCCACCCTGGCCTCCCAGAGTGCTAGGATTACAGCTACTGCACCTGGCCATATACTGTATTTTTTAAAAGCGCAGGTAAGATTTAGCTGCTGTTGTGTACTATATTGGGACAGTAAGGTGGTAGGTACTTTAGACTTTTAATTTCTGAAAATGATACCATCCCTCAGGCATGTATTCTGGAAATGGAATTCCTGTAACTTCCTGCATTTACAGTTGGCCCTACAATTAGTAGGCAGCACATAAAAACACTAGTGTAGATTACAAAGATATATATTAAAATAGAACCAGAAATACCTGGTATTCAGTGGCACAGAAAGCAGGTTAAAAAACAAAAACAAAAATAGCATAGTGTTATGCTTGCAAGTTTCCATTTGTTTTAATGCCAATCAATACCACATGGAGCTTACCTGACTTGCTCTGCTTGAGTTGAGTCCTTCAGTTTTAAAAAAAGAAAAAAGTAAACCTATTTTGACACCCACAAAGTATTTTAATCAAAACTTTTCAGTTTCAATCTGAATATTTAAAAACACTAGGAGAGGGTGGAGCCTGTGGCTCAAAGGAGTAGGGTACCAGACCCACATACCAGAGGTGGTGGGTTCAAACCCAGGCCTGGCCAAAAACTGCAAAAAAAAAAAAAAACTGGGGCAGCACCTGTGGCTCCCCATATGCCGGAGGTGGTAGGTTCAAGCCCAGCTCTGGGCAACAACTGCAAAAAAATCATTGGTAGAAGCTTCTGTGAGTTTAGTTCCACTAAGATGTTTCGCCTGCCTTATCAAGACCATTCTCAGTCTACTTTATTAAGCTACCGTATCTTAAATTATTGAAAACTTATTAATTGCTGAATATATAATTACCTTTGTGTGTATGTAACCAAAAATGGTTTAAGAGCCAACATTTAGAATATGACAATGGAGCTGAACAGTTTTTAATGCACAAGTAATTCTGTTCTTATGTATGACTTGTAACCTTAATTTACAGTGTAAACATGGTTACATCAATTCCTTAGCTTTGTTTGCTGGAGATAAATAGAGAGAATGCTTGTAAAGTATGTCAAAACATAATCTTATCTTGTGAATTTTTGTTAATGTATTATACAACCTATATTTTTCATTTGCCCAGAAAGACAGCTTGTATAATGCTTTTGGAAGTTTCTGCTCTGTCTTTAGAGCTGACAGTCTGTTAGGTTTGTTCTTTTCTTTATGTTAAAGTGTCAGTTGGTGGTTTTGTGAACTGGTCAGAAATTTACAGGTCTTAAATGTTTTGGGGAAATTTATATTGGACACTGCTCTTTGCCTAGCAAATAAAAGATGTTAATTAACATTCCTGTTAAAAACACAAAAAGCGCAGGTAAGAAACTGAAAATACATGTCCTGAAACATTAACAAAGACTATGAAGTGTGAGAACTTTTTTACCTTCTCTCTATACTTTTCAATACTTTCCAAATTTTCTATACAATATTTGTTAAAACATAAAATACTAGGCCAGACATGGTGGCTCACACCTATAATCCTACCACTCTGGGAGGCTGAGGTGAATCGCTTGAGCTCAGGAGTTTAAGACTGCCTGAGAAAGAGTGAGACACTGTCTCTACTAAAAATAGAAAAATTAGCCACGCATTGTGGCAGGCACCTTTAGTCACAGCCACTGAGCAGGTTGAGGCAGGAGGATTGCTTGAGCCTAGGAGTTTGAGGTTGCTGTCAGCTTGACTTATGTAATGGTACTCTACCTTGGAGGAAAAGAGTGAGACTGTATCAAAAAATAAGTAAATAAAATAAAATACTAAAAGCTACTTAAAATTAATTTCAGTGGGAGAAAATTACACCTAACAATAGAGAAAGCCATTAAGAACTTTACTTTAGGGCTCGGTGCCTGTGGCTCAAGCGGCTAAGGCGCCAGCCACGTACACCTACGGTGGTGGGTTCGAATCCCCAGCCCGGGCCCGCCAAACAACAATGATGGCTGCAACCAAAAAAATGGCCAGGCATTGTGGCAGGCGCCTGTAATCCCAGCTACTTGGGAGGCTGAGGCAGGAGACTCGCTTGAGCCCAGGAGTTGGAGGTTGCTGTGAGCGTGATGCCATGGTACTCTACCCAGGGGGATAGCTTGAGGCTCCATCTCAAAAAAAAAAAAAAAAAAAAAAAACTTTAGTACTTAAAAGGACTTAAAAAATTATTTATTTCCTTTTTTGAGACAGAGTCTTACTATGTTACCCTTGGTAGAGCGCCCTGGCAAAATAGCTCACAGCAACTTCAAACTCTTGGGCTCAAGTGATTCTCTTGCTGCAGCCTCCCAAGTAGCTGGGATTACAGGAGCCTGTGACAATGCCCGGCTATTTTTTTTGTGGTAGTTGTCATTGTTTAGCAGGCCCAGGCTGGGTTCGAACCCACCAACCTCGGTGTATGTGGCTGGCACCCTACCGAATGAACTATAGGTGCTGCCTTTGTTTAAATTTTTAAGTCCTGGGAGGTGCTCATAGCTCAGTGGGTAGGGCACCAGCCACATACACCCAGGCTGGCAGGTTTGAACCTAGCCTGGGCAGCTAAACAATGACAACTGCAACAACAACAAAAAATAGCCAGGCATTGTGGAAGGCGCCTGTAGTCCCAGCTACTTGGGAGGCTGAGGCAAGAGAATCGCTTAAGCCCAAAAGTTTAAGGTTGCTGGGTGGCACCTATGGCTCAGTGGGTAGGGCGCCAGCCCCACATACTGAGGGTGGCGGGTTCAAACCCAACCCTAGCCAAACTGTAATGAAAAAATAGCCAGGCACTGTGGCGGTCACCTGTAGTCCCAGCTAAGCCCAGGAGTTGGAGGTTACTATGAGCTGTGATGTCACAACACTCTACTAAGGGCGATAAAGTAAGACTCTGTCTCTTAAAAAAAAAAAAAAGGAATTTGAAGTTGCTGTGAGCTGTGACATCACGGCACTCTACCCAGGGCAACATAGTTAGACTCTGTCTCAAAAGAAAAAAATTTTTTAAATAAAATGGAAACACAAAATTGCCATATAATGAAATATAAAAATGCAAAAAAAAAGGCAAAACCAAAAAGCAATAATGATTATGACCATACACTTGAGACTTAACAAGGAGTTTCTAACTCAATCCATTGCTATTCTAAGTTAGCAAAGAATTAAACATCATTGAGTTCTTAAGACTGAATTGGACAATACTGTTATTATCAGGTATTATTCATATTTGCTAAGTATTCATAACCTTCGAGAGCTGGGATCAGGACCAATTCTACAGAAACAGATTAAGTGGCAAAAAAGTAACCTGAAAATCAATCCCCCCTTACATGACTATAACAAAAAAGAGACAACAGCAATTGTGGACAAAGATGGATAGGCAAAAGTGGAAACAACACAATGTCCATAAAATGATAAACTGATAGACAAAACATGGCACAAATCTATGCAATGGAATATTATTTGGTCTTGAATAATGAAATATTATTTGACAATTTTTTTTTTGAGACAGAGTCTGACTTTGTCATCCTTGGTAGAATGCTTTGGCATCACAGCTCACAGCAACCTCAAACTCTTGGGGTCAAGCGATTCTCTTGCCTCAGCCTCCCAAGTAGCTGGGACTATAAGCACCTACCACAACACCCAGCTATTTTTTTAGAGAGGAGGTCTCGCTCTGGCTCAGGCTGGTCTGGAATCAATTAAATCAGGCAAACTACCCGCCTTGGCCTCCCAAGTGCTGGAATCATCATGCCTGGCCTATTTGGCTATTAAAAGAAATGAAGGGCAGTGCCTATGGCTCAATATATCAGAGGTGGTGGGTTCAAATCCAGCTCTGGCCAAAAAAAAAAAAGAAATGAAGTGGCCGGGTGTGGGGCTCATGCCTATAATCCTAGTACTTTGAGAAGCTGAGGCAGGAGGATTTCTGGAGGTCAGGAGGTCAAGATCAGCCTGAGCAAAAGCAAGGGTATGGTGGTGCACATCTGTAGTCCCAGCTCCTCAGGAGGCTGAGGCATGAGGACTGCTTAAGCTGAGGAATTTGAGGTTGCAGTGAGGAATGATGATGCCACTACACTCTAGCCAGGGTGAGAGAGCAAGACTCTGTCTCAAAAAGAAAAACAAAAAAATCAGTCCCCTGATATAAGGCTACAACATGGATGACTCTTAAAAACATCACATAAATTACAAGAGGCCCGTCACAAAGGAACCATATGCTGTGATTCCATTTGTATGAAATGTCTAGAATAGGCCAATTTATAGAGACAGTAGATTAGTAGTTATATAGAAAGGAGGTAGGAGAATGAGGAATGACTAATAAATGGGTACAGGATTTCTTTTTTTTTTTGAGACAGAGTTTTACTTTGTCACTCTCGGTAGAGTGCCGTGACATCACAGCTCACAGCAACCTCAAACTCTTGGACTTAAGTGATTCTTTTGCCTCAGCCTCCCAAGTAGCTGGGACTACAGGCATCCACAACGCCTGGCTATTTTTTTGTTGCAGTTGTCATTGTTCAGCTGGCCTAGGCTGGGTTCGAACCTGCCAGCCTCAGTGTATTGGGGTCAGAGCCCTACTGACTGAGCTACAGGCACTGCCCCCCTTTTTTTTCACATCTGATGGGTAATGTGCTGATATTGTAATAAGATTTGTGAGAAGCACATCTCATGCAGGCGCATGAAAACCTAATCATCATGCTGATGAACAATAGGATCAATACTAGCTAGTTTTTAAGAGATGGGGTCTTGACTCACCGCCACAGCACAGTGGTTATGGCACAAGCCACATACACTAAGGCTGGCGGGTTCATACCCAGCCCAGAACAGCTAAGCAACAATGACAACTGCAACAGAAAAAAATAGCTGGGCATTGTGGCAGGCACCTGACGTCCCAGCTACTTGGGAGGGTGAGGCAAGAGAATCGCTTAAGCACAAGAGTTAGAGGTTGCTGTGAGCTGTGACGCCACAGCAATCTATGGAGAGCAGCAAAGTGAGACTCTTTAAAAAAAAAAAAAGAGATGGGATCTTGCTCTTGCTCAGACTGGTCTCGAACTCCTGAGCTCAAGCAATTCACCTACTTTGGCCTCCCAGGGCACTGGGATTACAGGCATGAGCCACCATGCCCAGACTGGATATAGGATTTCTTATAGGGGGGATGAAAATGTTCTTAGATTGTGGTATAATAGTTGCACAACTGTGTGATATGCTACGAAAACACTGCACACTTTTTAAATGGGTGAACTGTGTAATATATAAAATGTGCCTCAATAAAACTTTTTATTATTTATTATTATGATTGCTTTTTTTTTTTTTGAGGCAGAGTCTCAAGCTGTCACCCTGGATAGAGTGCCGTACCATCACAGTTCACAGCAACCTCAAACTCTTGGGCTTAAGTGATTATCTTGCCTCAGCTGCCCATGTGGCTGGGACTACAGGCACCCACCATAATGCCCGGCTATTTTTTTGTTGCAGTTGTCACTGTTGTTTTAGCTGGCCCAGGCCGGGTTTGAACTACAAGCCTCGGTGTATGTGGCCAGTACCCTATCCACTGAGCTACAGGCACTACCTCAATAAAACTTTTTTAAAAAGAAGCTGAAAAAGAAAGCTCAAATAGAAAAGAATCAAAAAAAAAAAAAACTAATGAAAAGCAGGATATAAATATGCTCTAAGTCAGGGGGCCTCAAACTTTTTAAACAGAGGGCCAGTTCACTGTCCCTCAGGGGCTGGACTGCAGGCCCTGGGATGAGTCGGCTGCTAAGCAGGACAGGCAGCAGCAGCAAAAACACCTGGTGGACCAGATAAATGTCCTAGGCGGGCCGCATGTGGCCCATGGGCTATAGTTTGAGGACGCCTGCTCTAAGTAATCTATGATCCATGGACCAAATCTGAATCACTCCCTGTTTTTATAAATAAAGGTTTATTGGAACACAACCATGTTTTTCCATTTCATTTTTGTTGTCATGCTACTACAGAATTAAACAGTTGAAATAAAGACCATGTGACCCACAAAGCCTAAAATATTTACTATTAAATATCTAGCCCTTGCTCTAAAGGAAAATCCTGTCAGACTACAGCAATAAACTGGGGTACACAACAAAATCCTTTCTAGAGGCTCAGCGCCTGTGGCTCAAGCCGCTAAGGCGCCAGCCACATACACCTAAGGTGGTGGGTTCGAATCCAGCCCGGACCCACCAAACAACAATAATTGCTGTAACCAAAAAATAGGCAGGCATTGTGGCGGGCGCCTGTGGTCCCAGCTACTTGGGAGGC